TATATTTCTCTTCTTGAATTGTAAATACTGATAATCTTCACTAACTGGGTACCACGTATCCTTCTTCACCTTGCTTCTTTTACTTGTTGAAAGTTGTATCTACCTTCTGATTCTCTTATTGCTTTTTACCATATAGGTGGATAGATATTCATGCCTTAGGGTTCTTTATCAAGAAGCTTACACGTCTTAGTACACACATGATCTGCTAAAGACTTTGCATTTACTCATCATAAGCACGATGCAAAATCGAGTTCTTCTGCCTCAACTCTTCCACAACCACATTCAATCTCTTACCAACTGTCTTTTTGGATGTAGGTATAATTATATTACGAATAAAATAAAATTTAGTAGTTTGAATTCTTACAATTGAGCTCTACCACACGATCTAGAGTAAGAAGAAAGAGTAACAGTCCTAAATGCTCTGTAGCCTCCTGCTTATAAGTGTGGTGCACAACACACCCATAAACAAGACTCTACTAGACACGGCTTGTGGACTCCCTAGGATAGAACTGCTCTGATACCAAGTTTTTCACGCCCAAAACCTGAAGAGCCGTGGCCGGCACCCGGTGCCATCCTCGGCCCGAGCGTACCATTCTGTAACTATGAACTCTGGAGGGGTAACCATTAACTTAGGCCGATGAGGCCATATTTTGAATCATCTGAAAATAACTTCTGTAACCAGCAATACCAAACTAAACACCTACATACGGCTGATAAAACGAGTGATATAATATATGTACGGGACTCGTCTACAAGCCTCTAGAGATAACTGAACTGTATCATGGTCGGGACAGGGCCTCGACTTACCCATTAAACCTGTATATATGAAATAGACTCCAAGGTATAGACCTGGTAATTCCGAGGAAGTCGAGCTTACCAACCAAGCTGATGTTGGACTCTGTCTACTGGGAAGTTCAATTCAGCTGCCTATCGGGACCTGCAGGCGTAAAATGCAGCGTCCCCAGCAAATGGGACGTCAATACGAAATAATGTACCGAGTATTTAAGGCAACAGAATAACTGAAAGTTGAAACTGAACTGATAACATAATAACTGAAAGTAACTGGGAGTCAAATATAATTTGAAAATATGCTTACCTGCTGATACCGATTCATCTCTCTCAATATAGTAAGTAAAATAGATGTCCGGCCTTATAATGCTCGGTATGTGTAACTGCTCAGTCGTAGTAGGCTCGTTCATATGCGCTCGGCCATACTTGGCTCTGTATCTCAGCCATTCTAGGCTCGGTCTTAGGCGCTCGGCCACAGTAGGCTCGGTGTATATCTTACCATCTGATCAAAGGTTGCCCAATAGGGGCCTGCCCATCGATTATAGCTCGATGGCGGTGAAAATACTATAATATTGTGTGTGTGTATGTATGTATATATATATATATATATATATATATATATATACACACACACCCTCTGCTCACTTGGTTGAAAGAAGACAAAACTAAACTAAATATGAAGTCCCGATAAGGGAGAATTATAACTTATGAGACTAGGACAATGTCCATAAATTCAGGAACAGGAACTTCTCTTTAAGTCTCGTTATCAAATACATGTAGTTACTGGATCATGACAAAATGAAGCAAAGGTTTAGCCTTAACATACCTTAACTCCGTTGAGTCCTTAATACCTTCCAAGCAATTCTTCAAACAACTCAACTTTCACAGCATGAGGAGTTTCAAAATCAGTGTTGAGTAAAGGCTAAGTCTGCAACTTAAACTAGTAGCTCATTTATGTAAATCTAGGCAGTATCTACCTTGTAACAAGGCCCTCCTCCAATACCATATATCAAAAACAACAAGAAAACAAAGATAAAAATATGTATACATCATTTTCCAATCTTATCTCCATCATAGTATAACACAAAACAACCCATACACCCTAATCACTTCATATATAAAACGACAACCAAAGTAGTGTCAAACAACCTAAAATATATAATGATGAATGACTAGCCAACCATTCCATCATTATGTGGTGTTTCTCCACACGTTTTCTCCTACAAAACTCCATAAAACATCAGCACAAGAGTCCAACACGAGTGGAGTACAAAACAGTCCACTAAAAGTGAAATAAACCGAACTCACGGTTTCCGATCACCGTCCCGTGAGTTCTAACTATTAGGAAACAAATTTATCAACCTTCCTTGAAAGCAAATATACAGAAATTAGGTGTTTTCTTAAAATATGAAGTACCTTCCAATACTCAAACTACAAAGAAAAAGAGAGGCGATATAGCGATACTTACGTCATAGGGATCGTTCTAATGTTATCGCTTCTTGATTTCTTACCCAGGATGTTAATCTTCTTGGAAACCCTTGTAGAGAGCATAAGGGTAAGTTTATGGGGGTTCTATGTGCGTCTTCTTTGAAAAAAAGGAAGATAAAGACGATTTGAAACCTATATATATCAACTTTTGGAAAGTCAAAGAGGTGCTAGCTTGGCACCCTAGCATTGGCCTTTCTTCCGACGCTTATATCTTTTTATCGGGATGTCGTATGAACAAATGATTAAAATCGTTCGAAAATAAATTCCAATACCTTCAATTCGGTATATAATATTTCCCAAAAAGACCTCATATAACATACGAAATGTATTTCTCAAAAAGCTTTAGTGACACACCTACTTGCCACCTATGCAGTCTCGCAAAACTGTAAATATCTCTCTATTCCAATGTTGTATCGACAAAAAGTTTAATGTGATAGAAACTAGACTAATAGATATCCATTTTGGTAGGTAGATAATCTTCTAACTCCAAGTATATTGGGAGAAAAGCTCAGCAACAGTTGACCTAAGTTCCAACACATTTACGAACGTAACTTGTGATGACCTTTTCCAACTTTTGTTCCACAACTCACTTGACTTCAAAACATAACACACAACTATCATACGACTAAAATAAATCATAACATAATATCATTATAATGTTAAGCACCATAGTCTCACCCTAAAAGTACATGTTATAACATTTCAGCTTGTCGACTTTTGACAAAACTTATTTTTTTCGATTCGTTTAGCTTCTTAGCCTTCCAACACTCTTGGTACATGGTATTAGTTATCTTAACTTTTTGTAACCTCCATGGTAATATGATTAACTTACTTTATTTGCTTTCAAAGATGATATCATTTCTAAGCTTACATCAGTTCACTTACGACGTACTCTCACGTACGAAAATATAGGGTGTAACATTCAATTACATCGGTTGTTTCATAGCCTAGTTCACGGTAATCTGTGAACCCATTTTCAAACTGTTGAAGAAATATGCTGCCACAAAATGGATAGAAGAGTGCCAGAAAGCCTTCGACAGAATCAAAGAGTATCTCGTAAACCCGCCAGTGTTAGTTCCCCCTGAACTGGGGAAGCCACTATTGCTCTATTTGTCAGTCATAGATAACTCCTTCGGTTGTGTGTTTGGGCAACATGACGAAACTAGGAGAAAGGAGCAAGCCATCTCCTACTTAAGCAAGAAGTTCACACCATGGGAGGTCAAGTATACTCTGATAGAACGCACTTGTTGTGATCTGACTTGGATTGGTCCGAAGCTAAAGAATTACATGTCAGCATACCCTACGCATCAGATATCTCGGCTCGATCTAATCAAGTACATTTTTCAGAAGACAATGCCTACCGAAAAACTAGCCAAATGGCAGATTCTCCTCAGTGAATTTAACATTGTGTACACAACTCAAAAGGCTATCAAAAGACAAGCTTTTGCCGACCAGCTCGCAGAGAATCCGGTGGATGGGGATTACCAACGGCTTACCACGTACTTCCCCGATGAAGAAGTATTATTTTCCAGAGAAGATACTGCAGAACCGTGCCCCGGATGGAGAGTGATTTTTGATAGAGCAGCAAACTTTGAAGGAGTCGGAATTGGGGCCGTCCTGATTTTGGAATCTGGACAGCACTATCAATAATCGGCAGAGATAAGATTCCCTTGCACCAATAATATGGCGAATTATGAAGCATGAATCCTTGGGATTAGAATGACATTCGACATGAACATTAAACAACCTTTGGTCATAGGAGATTCTGATTTGCTGATACACCAAGTCTAAGGAGAATGGTCCACCAAGAATGTCAAAACACTTCTGTACCTGCACTGCGTGAAGGAGCTATGCAAGAAGTTTACAAAGATTAAGTTCAAGCACGTCCCTAAGGTTCAGACCGAGTTCGCCATTGCCCTTGCAACCCTATCATCTATGATTCGGCATCCAAACAAGAACTATATCTACCCTATCGAGGTAGAGATCAGGGATCAACATGCTTATTACTTCCATGTAGATGAAGAACAAGATGGTAATCCATAGTATCACGACATCAAGAAATTTCATTCGACTAGAGAATACCTGGAAAGTGCTACTTATGGTCAAAACCGAGCCCTTAGGAAGTTGGCAACCCATTTGTTTCTCAACGGAGAAGTATTGTATAGGAGGACCCTAGACTTAGGTTTGTTGAGATATGTAGACGCTGCTAAAGCAACCAGATTACTAGAGGAAATACATGCAGGAGCATGCGTACCCCACATCTACAAGTTCACATTAGCCAAGAAGATTTTGAGAGCTTGATACTTTTGGATGACTATGGAACGCGACAGCATCCCCTACGTGCAAAAGTTTCACTAGTGCCAGATTCAAGGGGATTTCATCCGGGTCCACCAAATGAGCAAAACGTAATGGGTTCACCTTGGTCGTTCGTCCCCCTAGGGCATGGACGTGATTGAACCTATAGAGCCTGCAGCATCAAATGGACATCGATTTCATTTTGATATCTATCGACTATTTCACCAAATGGGTCAATCCATCTACTTACAAGGTTGTCACGAAAAAGGTAGTGGCAGATTTTTTCCGAAATAACATCGTTTCCAAATTTTGGTATACCGGAGTCTATCATCACCGACAATGCCGCTAATCTCAATAGCGACCTCATGAGAGAAATCTGCGAGAAGTTCATAATCGTCCACCACAATTCAACAGCCTACAGACCATAAATGAATGGGGCAGTCGAGGCAGCTAACAAGAATATCAAGAGGATTCTGCAAAAGATAGTGGATAATCACAAACAATGGCATGAGAAACTGCCTTTCACTTTACTGGGTTATCGGACTACCATAAGAACATCCACTTGGGCAACGCCACACATGTTAGTATACGTCACTATAGTAGTGATACCCGCAAAGGTCGAGATGTCGTCTTTAAGAGTAATTCAAGAGGAAAAATTGGACGACGCAGAGTGGATGCGGGTCAGGCAGGAACAACTCATGCTCATTGATGAGAAAAGAATGGACACAGTGTGTCATGGTCAGCTATATCAAAACAGGATAGCCTGTGCTCTTAACAAGAGAGTGATGTTTCGCCAATTAACACCGAGGCAGTTGGTTTTGAAGAAAATCTTTCCCTATCAAGAAGAAGCCAAAGGAAAGTTCGCACCAAACTGGCAAGTTCCTCACGTGGTTCACCGAGCACTGTCGGGTGGGGCTCTAATCTTGGCAGAGATAGATGGAAGAGTCAACACAATGCCTATCAACTCGGACGCAATCAAGAGATACTATGTCTGAAGAAAAATAGAGTTAGGTTTTTGATGTAACAGAACTATGTTCAACCTAACTTTCCACGGAGGGATATGTAGGAAATATACGTAGGGGTCGGTTTCTCTCCCCCTTTTCCGGTGTAATAGAAAAACCAATTATCACTTTTGTATGTTACTCAGGAACTACGCTGACTTGATTTCCTCTTAAAGGAATACGTAGGTAATCCGCATCAGATTCAGTCATCTTTTGTAAATTAACTACGTTTTGGCCTAATTCCACTTGGATACGTAGGTTGTTTGAGTCAGACTCGGCCATTTTCATTCTTAATCTCATCATTTTGCATCTACTGTAATCAAACTACATCTTGATCGGATTCCACTTGGATACATAGGCTACCTGAGTCAAGCTCGGTCATCTTCATCATATTTTATCATAATCCATGAACTACGTTCAAACCTGATTCCATTTTAGATATGTAGGAAACTTGAAAGGGTTCATTCATAACCTTAGGAAAGCCTTGTAATGCAGTAGTTCAAATTAGGACGTAGCCGCAACGGCATTTTCAAAATCATCACCGAAGATCAAAATCAACATGACAAAATTTTCAAGAGGATACGCTCACGTGTGGAAAATGGTTTGTAACATATCATAATCTCGAACGACGACATTTTCCTTAAAATACATTATTCTCGAAATATATATATATATACACTAATTTGTTCCATCTACCGAACTTCACACCGGAATCATGAAAAGACCAGGGCAAACCAACATTGTAGTCGACACAAGCCAACCCCCCCCCCCCCCCCCCCCCCACTAAGAAGTTTTCTTTGAGTGCAGGGCTGACAGGGAGCAAGGGAGCACTAGGACCACACTGGGCAAATAACAAACCTGCCACTTGCCTAAGATTATCTCTCCTCTTCCTTTACTTAAATTTTTCTAGTACAACTAAGGCTAATCATTGAATCCTCTGCAGGTACCTCGAAATCAGACAACTAATATGGAAAACCTATAAATAGAAAACAGTCTACTCAACCAATCGGAGCATCTTGTACTAAACAAAATGTCGGCTTCACCAATTGAAGCCCTGTGCATAGCAAACCGTTTGTTCATCCAATTGGAGCATCCTGTACAATCCGAACGTTGACTTTACCGATTGAAGTCCTGTATATAGCAAACCATCGGCTCAATCTATCGGAGCGCCCTGTACAAATCAAACGTGGGCTTCGCCACCCGGAGCCTTGTATATAGCAAACTGCAAACTTCACCAACAAAGTAATTTGCATCGCTACTTTGCAACGGACACTAGAATAGGAAATCGCAAACCTCTTCGCCGATGTTTTGCCGATCAATGGCTACAACTTAGCTTTGCAATCAAGAGTATCTCTTAGGCCTGCTTTATTTCGTTTACCATTACTTTGAATGTTTTTAACGATTTGCTCATTCAGCTAGAGGCATGATTATGGTTTTAGTCAATCACTCCCAAGCAGAGAATACTTTACATTTCAGTGCAAAGCTCTCCCAACAAGCGGAGATGCACTCTACAAATCAAGCTCTCCCGATAAGCGGAGACATTCCTCAGTACAAAGCTCTCCAAACAAGCGGAGACGCACTCTACCAATCAAGCTCTCCCAACAAGCGGAGAAAATTTTCAAATGCTCCGACATCTGCGGAACGGTGCACAGCCCAGTAACAAATCAATTCAAGATCAAGTATCTCATCATCCCGATAATACGGCTCGCCGGCAGCCAGGCATCATCATTCCTGCATCATTTACATCGCATCTTCTTCATTACAACATGTTGGTATGCATGCATTACATTTGTTTTGCATGAACAAACACTATGACATGGAACTTTTCTTAGCAGCAAACCGAACCACAACACTATGGGGACAGCCAACAAATTTGCGGGCCTAAGATCCCAACTCAAGACGATATCTTTCAAATCAGGCCGCGAAATTCAAGCTACCGTAAGTGACCAATTTTTCGTCTCGCCATATCGTCACAATACCATACAGAGTCAATTCTTGCGAGTGTCGCTTCCCCAAAATCTCTACTCCAGAACTACATGAGGTCTGATCCTCGTTAAGCCCGAGGTGTGTAAGCAATTCAAAGCCAGAATTTGGCCCCAATATTCCCAAATCTTTCTCGATTCTTCCTTAACTTAACCCTACAATTCACCTGCCCCATTTCCTGCAATATTTGCCTAAAATTTGGGACAATATTAGCTTTGGTTCAATTTCTTTGCCCGAAAACTCTTTCATCGTCTCCGGTCAAAGAGGGCTACCTATTGACGGCCAATTTTGACCCTCCCCTTTTGAGTTAATTTATTTATACGTAGTAATTTACAATAATGTTTTCAAAGGATTCTTCACTAATAATTATCTATTTTTTACAAATTAGCCAAGCATTAGTTTTAAAATTAATCACATAGTATTAATATTATGTAATTACAAACATATTTACTATTTTAAGATTACTAAAATATTTCTTATATATATGTTATATAGGTTCTATAATTAATTTGATAAATTACTCTCTAATTTCTAGTTAATAAGATTATTATGTGAAAATTCAAAATTAGTGTTACAATGTGGAAAATAAAGTATTTTATATCTTTTATAAATAATTAATTTAAAGTAACTAGTAGTATATATTATAATTATAATTTTACACTTTATTGAAAATTATTAAGTTTATCTAAATTAAATTCAAAAGGGGTTAAAAGACCAAAAGGCCACAATTGCAATTCTCAAATCAAAGGTAAAAATTACCATTTTTTTCAAATTATTCTTGGTCCAATTGACAAGCCCAGTCCGAAAAGACACCCAAGCCAAACACCCGTCTCTTTCCACCATCGCGATCCAAGTCACTCCATTTGCACCAATCAACGTTTGTCACGTCAATCGTCTTCAACACTCACATAAGAAACACAATGATTTGAGCCATTGATCCAAACCATCGACGGCCCACGATTATTCCCATTTTCTCTTTTAGTTTTGACCCCTTACGAGATATTATCTCCACAGTTGGATCACACAAATCCAACGATTCCCATATTTTCCCAAATTAATTTTCTTTAAACATATAAAGCCCCGATTTATCAGGGTCGTTGATCAAATGATCAAATGGCCCATATTCCATCTTGCAAACATAACCCTAGAGACCAACCCCCCAATTACCCAAACCTTTAATCATTTCGTCTCTAACCTCACCGCCTCTCTTTCCCCCTCGTCTCTCTTTTCTCTCAACCTCACAAGCCAAATCAATCACCAGACCTTGCACAAATTCGTGCGAGGTCACGAGTTCATTAGAGACTCGTCTCTTTCTCCTTCCCTAGCCGTGATTCCTGTTGAATTTTCCTCTCTCATCATCAGAGACGTAAACCCCCAAATCTGAACCCTAACCCTAAAAGATGAAACCTCAAATTGCCATTGTTCTTTCAAATCCGTGGTATGCATAGCCGTTTGTTTTGCTCCTATATCTTAGAACTCTTCACTCTTTCCATTTTCACCATTCGATTTCAAAGTCCTAATCAAGAAGGTCAGACCAAAAGAGTGAAATTTCAACTCATCAGATTTCTTCCTTCGTCTATCAAAGTAAGTCTGAGACACTAGCTGGCTTCAATATTGGTATTCGACACCCAATGGTCAAATTCAATGACCTATGGGTACTAGGGTTCTGACCAGCGATCTCTTATGCTTCAACGATCGATCCCTCCTCTCAGGTAAAATGGACCCTGCTTTTTCCCTCTGTTCCTTTCTAATTTTTTTACTCGATTCGTTATCATCACCTGCCATGCGTCTCTCTCCACTACTTATTTTGAATTTGTGAAACCCTAGAGCTTTAGATGGCACTGTAAAAGGGGCCTTTAATTTTCTCACCAAACAGACGAACACGACGACCTTACTGTTCTTTTCTTTTTGTTTTCTAAGTACCATCGTCGATTCGAACTTGAAGTTCATGGGATCTTAATCAACTAAGAGAGCCTTCGTTTGGTCTGCTACCCTAAAAAAGGTCAGCACATCCCTCGTCTCTCTCTTTTGTTCATCTCATTTAAATTTTGTAAATGTGTTAGTTATCTTCTGAAAATTACAGTTGTTTATGGTGTTTCTGATTAGTATGAGAATGCATATGTTCTGATAGTCTAATGTCTGCTTGTGATTATTTGTCCTGCCTTTCGAGTCTTTAATTGATGATTGATCAAGTCATTAAATGATTCTTATTGATTTTCGTTTCTGAGTTCTAACAGTCTACATGTTTAAGCTGTATTGTGTCTCGAATGATTATTCACACTTACCTAAACTCCACAGTTTTTAATTGATGATTCTGTAGTGATCTTTCCCTTTTACATATTGTTTTCCATGTACTTTATCAGTCTTATAGCCAAGTAAATTGTTGGATGACCATGATTGAGATGAATATGAAGGTTCCCAAGTTTATATTATCTACCTTTTAACTTAAGCATGAAATCTAAGTGTTTTTCTTCTCTGTACTTAGTATCTGCTAACTTTGAAAGTAACTGTTGGGTTGTCACCATGACATTCTCATCTTGGTGTTGTTGCATCTGTTGACCTGGTTTTGTTTGAATTAAACTTTCTTCTTTTCATGAATACCCATAGCTCTACTGTACACATCCTGTTGGGATTAAGTTATCGTCCCTTCATAAACAAGTCATGATCATGTTTTGTTGACTGGTGGTTGTTGAGCTGTCTCATGTTTGATTAAAACCTTCAGTTACATGTTCCATTCAAAACCTACTTGGTATAGTACTTCCCTGCCTTTATTCTCTTTGAACTACTGTAGGTTCTTGTGAAGCTTACATGCATCTATCACTAAGTTATCCTCCAGCAAAAGTAGGACTTAGTTGTTCTTTATTAATCAAGTGATAACTTTTACAAACTGAGGCATGACTACTTCATATATAGATACTAAACTAGATCCATGCTCAAGTTAAACTTGTTTTAATACAATGCTTCCCTATATTTGTAACTCCCTCTCTTCATGACATGTATAACCTGATTCT